TTTATTATCAAAAATGTAATGCTGTTCGAAGAAATAAAAGCGTCTTTGTGATTCGTTGTACTACCCACAATACACCATTCGCCTCATGGAGAATTTGTGTTCATGTCAAAAAGCTGAGCGTCTAACTCTCGCATGTCAAATCCAACCCGTTCAATGTAAAATAGTGCTGGGGTTACCATATTAGTTTTAAAACATGTATTTATTCATACCAATGATGGGGGAACTTGTTTCATATGCAGTATATGATAAGAAAAATAACTCGTAATATATTTTGAAATTTGCCTAAATGGACCTTCAACCGTGATCGTCGCGCGTCCGCCACAAAACTTGTGTAGTTATGGCGCCCGCAGGCGACGAAACTCAAGGGTATGTTCACGCAACTTTTGATATTGCCTGTCATATTTTTGTCCACGATTTAGTGACGATGTAACCAATGTCATCAGTTAGACTGTTGAAACCTTTTCCTCAATGAGTTCACTGTCTTGTCTGGAGAGCATACAGCTACTGATAGTGTCCTTGGTGGTTTTGGCGGAGAATAGGTACTCGTACGTAACACCCGCAGTGATGCCACCTAATATTGGTCCAGCCCAGTATATCTACGGAAAACGATATGCTGTTATTTCAAAATTGCCGTTAGAGTTGGTCTTATCGGTATGGAGCAAACAAGATACCCCCAGTCTTTATTTGCACTTTGTGATATATTTGAATACACCTTACAATCGCGAACATATCAATTATTTTTTAGTGACTGAAATAGTTTCACATTATGAACGATACACTCACGCTAAAAGAGTGTCATTGCATTGACAAACCTGGGACATCGCGGGCAACGTGTATACCCTACAGATATATCCTTCATTTGTTCATACCAACCACGGACTTCGTTCAACATCGTCTATACAGTTTACTTACCCAGTGATCCTCCCAGAAATTCATTATAACCGCTGGGCCAAATGAACGAGCCGAATTCATGCTAGCCCCGGTGAACTGAATCTGAAAATAAAAACAAAGCAATACTTAAAAATGTCATTTAACAACACTATGTAGTATTCAAGTATCGAGATTTGTTGTCAGTGTGTATATTTCTCCTAATTCTAGTTGACGAAAAAACATGTACACGTATATGTGTAGAGAATGTAAAAGAATTTAGATTTCTCTGCACGAAGGAAAAATTATATCGAGATCGCTTTTAGTATGTTAGTAATTTTCAATTGATAGATGTTTCCAGAAATGGTGGCGCTCTTCATCTTGGGGTTTTGTCTCAAATCTCGTCTAAGGAGCTTTTTTTTTGCAGCCATGAATTCCTAAGTCGGTTGCGACCGTAAAGCAGCTTTTTTCTGACCTATATGCGGATAACAACGTTATCTAAGAGGCGGTGGTCGTAGCCTCGCGCCTTGTTCGTTATGAGACTCATAGCAACGTACATAACACGTGTAAAAAACCGCCACTCTTTAATATACCACGCAATACAACTACAGTTGATTTGGCCCTACCAAAACGTGGCCGGCGATCACACACAAACAATCGCACACATCTTTTTCGCTCACGAGAACTAGTTTCAGGAACCAGCTAACCGTCGCAAACAAAAACGTCACAACCTCCTGATCCATGCCTTTAAATTACAAACTTGATTTATCCGTAGTCAACCCATGTTGAACATAATCGTAAATTAAAAGTTCATCTATTGTGACATTGATTTGTTTATGTGTTTGTGTATGGTTTGTGTAATGGTTTTAGGTTAAATATAAACAACGCATCCTATAAAATAAGTGATTAATTGCTCTTTGACGATGACATCGAAAAGTTCGGGTGCTTTTAGTTGGACAGTAAATTACCCACGACGGAACCTTAATTCACGAATCCCGTCAACTGCAAACAATGTTAAGGTTTTGAAAGAGTGTAAAGCCAACTTTAATGTTGTTATATTGTGACGCGTATTCACAAAACTGTTATTTACCTCGCTGTTGCGTTTTTACCAATCCAATTACTAGTATATGAATACAAGATAATATACAAATTAGGTGCATTGTCATTTTTTTCATTGGAAATGTTGATTATATTTTGTTATTACTTTTGCCCGATTCCTATAACAACTCTAAATGAAATATCGTAAATGCTTACACTGCTTTAATGCTCGGCATAGGCTGGGAATAAATGAAAATTTACTATCCTCGTTTAATAAATCTGATATTTAAGTCTAATTCATAGACATCCTGTATATATCATACAAAAATGAAATCACCGAAACCCAGTGATTTTAATTTGGGATCAGTCTTATTCAAATCCAAATGAAACAACTGGATTGGCCAGGCAGGCACCCTCGCCATTCCCAGAAACGCTCATGCATCAATCATACTTAAAACAGCCTACGTTACTGCACGAGCTCATATCTTGTATAACTACCGCTTAAGTTATACATAATACGCTTATAATAATTCATATAGATTTGTTTTTACATCTCATTTTGACCCATTGTGTGCTTTATGAACTAAATCGGTACAGGCGGAAACAGTTGAATTAAAGCAAATATACAAAGCAGATTTGAATACTTCGAGAACAACTGTCAACAAACATAGTAATCTCTGATTGGTCCGTCTGTAAGGTGTTACGTTTTTTTGGGGGGGGCATGTCGGGTAGCTTGGCATTGTCTCGAGGCGGTCTCCACATATTGACATCTCAGGCAACAATAAATAAATTATGTGTTTTACGACTGAATCGTACAGGTGTCCTTAGACTGGCGCAGTCGGGGCGATTAATTCGTTTTTGTAGTTTCATGGATGTACATAGTACATCCATGGTAGTTTAAATAAAATAAAAAAAAAATCGCGAAATGGAGGTGTTAGCGCGAAATCCATTGTAACTGCGAAATCACCCCCGACTGCCATTTTATTCTGCATGGCCCTCTATCGACACTGCAGGAACCCGTCGATTTTTCAACGGGTAATTATGTTAATGAGTGTTCTAATTGACAATCATCTCAGCCAATCACAACGTCTCTTCAACTGACCTCTGGCCGAGAAGACGTCGGCTGATTGTAGCAGCCGTTTTTTTTTTGTGTTTTTTTTGTTTTGTTTTTAATTCTACGACTAGTACGAGTTACTTTTTAAGTCTATTTACGACGACTACGACAAACTCAAATTTCAACGTGCAGCCATGTTGGGTCTGCAATGTGACCTTTACCATGTTGACCTCATTATGCACGTATTTCCGCGCCCACCTCATTATAATATGTGCATCATGAATATTTAATAGAAATGAATTTCCTGCAGAATAAACCAGATTTCGCGATTTTTTTTTATTTTATTCAAACTAAAAAAAACAAACTAATCATCCCGACTCCGCCAGTCTAAGGTGTCCTCCACCTTTTGATATCTTAGTTTTCTAATAACCCTAAACTCACATAAGTAGTGTACATAATGGCGTCCATTATTCCATGATGGTGCATTCCCGGGAGTTCAAAAGAATTATGGACGATGGACGAGCTGTTGAAATGCGAATTACGATTATGTGTCGAATATCATAAAGAAGAATGCAAATCCCGTCTACAGCACTGTGTTGTTCAGTCTGAAACAGTCACGTGGTGTATACGTCATTAATTTGCGCAGTACAGTATGCGCTTAAAACTAGATGTTTCACCAACTACACAAATAAAAAATAATCTGTGTGGTCATCACGTACCACGTGACGAATTGTTTAGCTAGACTAGCTGTGTATTCAACGTATTAAAAGCGTGCAGATACTAATGTGTCTGTATAAGATGAATTAATTTTAGGATTTTGAACCCAAAAAGAATATCTACAGGGTGGCGGGAGGTT